GGTGATTTCAATTGTAATCGGCTCTTTAGGGGGATTAGCCGATGAGAGGTTGGTAGATGCCGATTCAAATGCCTAGGACAACAATTCGGCACCTAAGACAGATTGAGATGCAATAGTCGATGGCTGCAAGAAAGGGATTGAATTAGAAGTTGGATATCATCTTAAGAGGGAAGATAAGTTAAGTTACCTAAGCAATTGATAATTTTGTTCTGCGAAGTCTCTTTCTAGTGGTGGTTTTCTGAGTTACACCTTAGGTTGCCTTGCGTTTTGAAGATTGATATATGAGTATTATTGGGGCAGTTAGGGTTTTCATCAAAATTTTCAGAGTGGGTGCAGTTGATCCTATTCTTTAGGCTAGACATGGTGGATAATATTCTATGAGATGCCCTTTCCTGTCCATGCTTGGCAGATTAAATTTGGTATCCTGCAAAAGAATTTTTTAGATGAATTGATATGAGAACTTGTTAGATAATCCTTTTGAAAGAAAAGTAGTAAATTACCTCACTATCAGAAACAAATTCTTCAACTAGAGCTAAATAGTTGGGATTAATTGGACTGCAGAAGAGGTGAGAGTGCCATTCTTACCACTAGGAGAAGGTAGCTCTTGTCCATTCATGCAGGCAAAGAAAAGAATGTAGCTCTTGTCCATTCATGCAGGCAAAGAAAAGGAAGGTCTGATCCTAGTTGAAAAACTCTAGAAGCTTCCATCATCTCACTAATACATTCTCTTGGCTTTAGAGTGTTCCTAAAGGATAGCTGAGGAGGTAGTTGATCAAGGCCAAATTGACGAGCTACAAAAGAAGGATTATAGAATTCATAAGTTGGAAGGTTATATGGGAGAAAACAACCAGTGGCCATTTTGCCACGGTCATGGCGAAATTCGGCTAGCAGTATATAGGGTTTGATGATACAACTAAAAATTACAGCAACCGTTTCATCTGAGCAACATGTTTCAAACCCAAATTTGATTGTCAGAATTAGTTCATTGTCTTCATTCTCATCATAAGGCAGCTAAGTCAGGATGTTTGCATCGAGCCCTTTGAAAAATTTCTTGAAAAGGTCGCCTATATCAATAGTAATTGTTATGGCTGATGCAGCTTCACCATAATTCATACATTGTCGAGTTCTTTCTTCTTTTCCTTTATAATCTTCAGTATAGTTGGAAGAATGAAAGCTCAGATTTCTGAGATTGGGTCTTATAATTTTATGCATGTACAGATTCAACCACAATTGTATTAACCACCAAGGGACACTGATGGTATGCACTGGTTCATTTTTTAGTAATTGAACAGATACTTGGTGCAGTAGGTGATAAGCAGACCCCAGCAAATATTTTTCGAGGGTGATTTCATTGCCGGCTGCTAGACGTTCTGCCATGTATTTATAATTATAAGTTGGTCCGCAAGATGACCCACAAAAGATGAATTTTTCTAGCCACATGTTCAGGAAAGCTACATGCTCTCTTTCATCAACAATCGATGCATCCCCAATATGGTTCAGAATATAGCTTGTCCTTCCTATGCAGTCTGATATTTTGGTTAATTTCTTGGACTTAGCACTTAAGAAATCATAGGGTTGCATTGATCCTGTTATTCTAAGGCCGATAAACATGTAAATATCGGCTAAAGTGATGGTCATTGGACCGTGATAAAAAACAAAGGCATTCAAAGTGTTGGACCAAAAGTAAGATGCAGAAATCAGAAGTAAGTCATTTCTCTCTATTCCAGACAGTGAGAGTGTCAGGCATTGATTCAAGTCATAAATTTGCTAAACTCTAGCCTTTTTCTCTGATACCTTACGGAACCTATCCCTCCATCCCTTAGGCATTTTGGGCTAGTTTTTAAAGGGAGTTTTGGTATTCCAAGAAGACAAATCTACTACAGATTGTTTGAAGAGGATTCGGTTGATTTCTTGATTGATGAAATCGGATGGATCAGGGTCACCCATGGGTCCAAGATAATAGGCATTAGAAACAACAGTTGATGGAATCAAAATTTCGTTCCTCATTTTTTGGAAACCAGTTGTGATTAATTTAAAAAAATGAAAATACAGGGTAGCGGCTAACACGTGAAAAGCAGAAGTTTGAAGGCATACCTCAGGAACGTTGTCGCTGGTTGCTATTATAGGCCAAAATAGATCTTAATCTGGGGAAGGTTACTTGAACGGCAGTTTGGTGGAACAGAGAATTTACTAGGGTTAAGGCTTTAGCGGTGGCGGCTTTGACTGTTGAGGTTTGCTCGAGAAAGAAGGGAAAAGTAAGCAGGCCGAGCGAGTTGGAAATGATACTGTTGTGGTATTATATAGAATTTGACCCGAGAGATCAGGGGCCATGCGCTTATTTGGAATGCACGGTTGCAACATGGTGAACAGATGAATGAGAATTTTGGAGTAAAATCATTTTTATCCTAAAATTGAGGGGCGTGTGTTTACACCAAAATTTGGAAAAGAAGAACGTGGAAACTCGAAGCTTTCAGGATTGTGTCATTAAGTAATCGATTAGATATGAATCGATATCAGCTGATTTAGATATGATGTCAGAATCGGCTATTTTATGGATGATATTAGTAGACGGTGTTAATGGGCTATACTTGAGTGGCGCTAGGAGGATGTGTCGGACTCTATAAATAAGAAAAATTAAGGGCCATGTTATTATTAAGTTAGAAAGTTTTTGTTTATTCCAAAAATTATAATGAGTCGTATTTGAGTAGAATTCATGTTTAGGTTCTGAGTATAAATATTAAACCCTGGTTATTATAAAAGAAAAAAAGAATACTCAATCAATATAATCTTTTCGGCTTTCGCCATTGCATTAGGAGTAGGAGTATTGTAGATCTCGGTGAGTTCTTCAGCAAACAGGGCTGCATCGACTGATCGACCTTCAGCTTGCTTATGAATACCGTCACGTTTTGTATTGTGCTTGTAAAGCTGCATCAGCTGATTGATCTTTTATGAGCCATAATACAAGTTAGTTATTGATCTGTATCGTAGTTTATAAGGCTGCATCAGCTGATTGATCTCTTACGAATCATAATATAGATTAAAATTATCGATCTTGTGTTAAATAACTTGTTGTTTAATACAATATCAATAATTATTGAATTTGTTAAGATTAGTAAAAATTTTCTTGCTGTTTTTGGTTGATACACCAGTTATCGATCTTGCTATAATTAATGTTTTATTAATTATAACAAAATCATCCGATTGAGATAGAGATATATTGGCATCATATCATCTTAATTGGTCATCCTTTGATCCGGTCAAGTTTTAAATCTTATAATTGATGGTTTAATTCTACTAGATCGACTGTTTTATCTCTATTCCAGTTAAACATAGTATGCATATAAAGACATATTTAAATCTTGAATAAACTCACTAGTTAATGAGATTTAATCTAATGACACTACCATAGCTGCACCGATCCGGTCGAACCTCACTGGTAAGACTTTAGATTAGAAATTATCGATTAGTGGTTTTGTTCATGATCAAGATATGTACTATGTTTGTTTGTTATGACTGCATCGGCTATTTTAACCGATTTGCCACGCATATATCATGTTTTCATGAATCTATCAACATATAGATGGTTTTATAGATTCTTTGACTTTAATTTATTATTATTATCATAGCTGCATCGATCCGATCGAACCTCACTGTTGATGATAATAGATTAGAGTCAAAACTATTTGTAGAATTATTTATATTAGACAAGTCGATTTGTTCGCATGTTATACTCTTTTCATCAAACTTATCGACTCGACACTTTATATCAATCGTGTTCCATTTACCCGATGATGCTTTTTGATGTTCAAGAGCATCGGTTATTTTGATTCGTATCATTATTATTTAATATTAACCGATAATTTTTTATTTAAAGATCTTCGTTTCATGGATAAGCTGGATATCAACTATTTAGTCGATAGCCTCGTTGAATCGGCTATGTAGCCGTATATTTAAAATTGTTTGGTGCAACACTGACATGTTCTACCTTAAATTACTGATAAGATTTTCTTTCCTTGTCAATTGCAGGTCAAATTGACTGGCACGTCGTTGGGTTTTCAGAATCGGCTGGTTCTGTGTTGAAGCTAAGCAGATCTCTAGTCTTGTTCCACTCAGATCTTTTGGCTTGCTGTGTGTTGATCACATCGCTATATTTTTATGTCAACACATACGATGTGATTAGGGAACTAAACAAGGCCTAACTGACTGATCTGTGATGGAGCAAAAGCAACCGAAAAATACAGAAAGGAGGAAAAAGCAACCGAAAAATACAGAAAACATTGTACTCCGTCCGTTCTAAAATAGCTATGGATCTGGACAGGGTACGCTGCTTTCTCACTTAACTGAATCCGAAGGTAAATGACAGGGAAGCCATTTGAAATGTAGTACTAGCCTCGAACTCGTTGTCTGTTCTGCATGTGTGCAGCTGTGCACTTCAGTATCAGTGCAGCAACATACGCTTCCTTTACATGACTGTCTGTGACTCTGATGGGAATTCCTTTACATGTATCAGTATCCGTTCCGTTGTGCTCCTGCTTGACAGCATACAATGCTCTGGCTCTCAGTCACAGCTGGAGTGTTGGCGCTAGCACTTAGCACTCACCGATACCACCATTTCACCTGAGATCAAGAACTTCCAACGGAACAAAAACCAAGCGATTATACACAGAAAACAGGATGATAACAACTGTCAGCAGCTCCTGTACATAATTGTTCTTTTCGGAGATGAATAATGTAATATTGGTGTAAGTAGGTGGCGGCTTCCCACCAGATGAATACAGCTCAGTTCCCCCAAACTCCCTGAATTGAGGAGTCTGAGTTATTCAGCAGGTAACACACACTGACAAACATCACCACCAACCAATGCATCCACACTCATCAACCCCACCCATCAGTTAGCTAATCCAATACCAATCCCCACATAGTACTACCACCACCTAATCACTCCATTAACCTTAATCGGTTTCGCCTTGGGCTTTCTCTTCCAACACAGACCGACCTGTTCAACAGCTGGTGTCGAGCATGCCCTCGTGGAAGGCAGCGACGCGGTCCGGGGTGACGCACTGCGTGATGAGCCGTGCCCCTGGCTTGTGGGCCCACGGCTTCACCAGGATACACGTGGCGATGTAATCCAGGTTCGTCAGCGGCACGACATGGGCCGGTGGGCCCCAACCGTAGTCCACCTCCGCGAGGCCAAGGCGCGTCCAGTCGGACACCAGCAGCGTGCGGTAGTCGGACGTGATCTGGTAGGGGTCGACGCCGGCGGCGCCCACCTCGCCCGCCGCCCACCGCGCGAACTCCGCGGGCATCCGCCGCTTCCCGTCCTTGATGATCTTCACCACCTCCGTGACCGAGGACCCCGCCACTTTCCCGGCGGGCGCCGACACGCGCATGATGTAGTAGCAGTTGCCGTAGAACCCGGCGCCGCCACGCGGGAGCGAGGCGTGTAGCATGGGCCGCGCGTTCATGGCGAAGCAGAGGTGCACGGGGGAGTCCGGCTCGAACCAGGCCGCGCGGGTGCGGCTCTGCCACGCCTTAGCGATGAGCACCTCGAACGCGGAGCACCACGCGGCGCCCGCGTGCGCCGCGCTGTACTGCGCCTTGAAGTGGTTGATGTAGTCGGCGGAGATGTCGATGGCGAGGTACTCGAGCCGCTTGCTGTCGGCGTCGGGCGTCGGGAGGCGCCCCACCAGCGCGGACGCCGGGTCCGGGATCGCGTCGCGGCCCCACTGCGGCTCCACCGACATCGCGTCGGCCCCGCGTGCCAGCTCCCCGACCGCGTTCATGAACTGCGCGGCGCCCGGGCCGTCGGCGACAGCGTGGCTGAAGCGGAAGCCCACGACGAATCCCCCGCAGGCGAAGGAGGTGACCTGGACGAGCAGGACGAGCGCGCGCTCGTCCTCGTCGCCGGCGGCGGGGGTGGGCGGGATGAGGTCGTCCTTGGAGACCATCAGCGGGGCCTCCAGGTAGTCCACGTCCTCGAGCGTGCAGGCGGCCTCGGCCTCCGTGAACCACACGCCGGCGTTGCTGCAGTCCACCGCCTGCTGCGCGCCGGACTCCGACAGGACCAGGCGGCCCGCGAGAGGGTAGTAGTGGACCAATGCGCGGGCGAGCGCGCGCTCGATGGTCCTGGCCGGGCTGGCGGCGGCGGCGCCGTCAATGCCGCCGGTGGCGGTGGCGGGCCGGTCGGGGGCCGCCTTGAACACGTGCAGCGACTCGATGAGCGCCATCTGCGTGGGGTACCGGTCGAGCCAGGAGAGGCGGAGCGGGCCGGCTGGCGTGGGCTCGGCCGGGACCACCAGGCGCGCCGCCAGCCGGTCGATGGACTTGGCCGCCGCCATGGATCGATCACGGGATGTATCGGAGTTGGGTGATGGAAGGAAGGAGGAAGGGAAGAGGCAGGCGGCCAGGAGGAGGTGGGGATGGGGATTGGGATTGGGGACCAGGTAAGCAAGATGTTGTTGCTGCTGCCTGCCGCCTGCGCTGCGCCTTGCTTGGTTTGATTTGGTGGTTGGATTGACTTGGACGGGAAGGGTGGTTGCTGCCGTATTTATAGGTGTGCGGCCGCGCGGAGTAGGTGGTGGGTCTGGGGGTCGTGACGAGGATGAGAGTCGGATGGAAGGCGTCCACGGGGGCCCACGCGCTCAGTAGCGTCAGGGTCAAAGAAGGTGCCACGGTGGAGCCAAGCTGGGTGGGGCCTTCGGCTCTCCCAATTCGTGGCCCTGCCCTGCTCTATCAAGGTCTTGTTTAGATTGTAAGTTTTTTCACTTTTTTTTCTATCACATTAAATATTTGGACACATGTATGGAATATTAAATGTAGATAAAAAAATAACTAATTATACAGTTTGGTTGTAAATTACGAGACGAATCTTTTAAACCTAGTTAGGCCATGATTAAACAATAATTGTTAAATACAAACGAAAATGTTACAGTATCAAATACTGATTCGTAACGCCAATCTAAACAAGGCCAAGGATCCATCCAATCCCCAGTCTCGAGCCTCGTGCTCAAGACACTGTACCCTCGTGTCTGCTGGCCGCTGCATCATGGTTTTAAAATCTTGATTTTTTGCGTCCAATTTTTACGACTTTAGCATTTGATTTTACGATTTTAATCAATAAGTAGAACGTTCGTTATCCTATGTTTTTTGTGTTCCCGATTTTTCATTCTGACGTTACCTAAAATCTTTTTCATTCGACTTAGAATCTACGATTTTTTTTATATAATTCTGGCCGCTTCGCCTTGTATATGCAGTTTTCTTGTGGCGGATGCAATAATCTTGTGTGCATTCCTATATGTGGACCTACACCGACGCACTCCATTTCTCAATGACTCAATGTAAATCTGTTTTGTTCCGTGTTCTCACTCGTCCGCATCAGTCAGTATAATACCACTCTCAAGCATTCAGCAGAAAAATAAAAGAAATACGGAGCCCCTTGGCTCATCGACTATTATATTTGGGTCAATTAATCACTCAACCAATAAATACATATGCTGTACTTACATAATAAGTAGCGGTGGGTCACTGACTACTCCGGGTTAGTTAGCAGAATATAGACATCACGATCTTCTGCAGCCGCTGAAACCGATTTGTCACCTGCCCACCAGTTCTGGCACATTCACGACTCACATACAGAGAAGACGGCCGGCTTCTCGCATCGCGTACGCATGTGCATGGTTTATTGGTCCGTCTCCAACTTTTACCCCGTCAACGTTTACTATTCCCCGCGCTCCTAGCTCATTTCTTTCACCATCAGGCACGCATTCATCTGAAAGCGACGTCCCATCAGCCAGCAAATGACTGGGAGCCCAGACGCATGCACTCCTCCGTGCGACGCCTTCCGACCCAGTACCAGTAGTGTGAAGTCACGCTCCCATAGCAGTATGCCGTATGCGTATGCTTCCTCCAAGCAAGGCACGAAAGCTACCGAGTCTGGGAGACACGGTCCAAGCGAAGGCGCGTACGTGCGTCGCCGTCGTTGCCCGTTAATTACGTCCGCGTGATCGAGGGCGTCGTGACTCGCTAGCAGGTAGCGAAAAAGAAGAGAGCACGGCAGCGACATGGATGGGGATGCCGCCCTTGTTTATTGTTGGGTGCGTGCACGGCAGGCTCGCGGCTCGCATCCGAGCCGTTGACCACGCTAGCTGTTCGTATGCAGGTACGGGAGTTTGCGTGGACTGACGGAAGCCGCCTCGCTTTCATTTCTTTTCTGTGACACTACCGATATAGACGATCATAGACGAGCATGTATACTCTCGTCCATATAAACACGTCTTATTCCTATGAGTATTCTTTTTTTTAAAAAAAGTAATAAACCGACAGATCTAGAGATTAAAGACAGCCACATTGTTTTTGACGAGCCTATCGCTCACTATTGAAAAAAAAATAACTCTACCACTATAAATATCTCTAGAAGATTGAGGTAGCGGATCTTAAAATTAATGAAGTCATCACAAGAATCTTGTTATGGTCTGTAGTTCATTACTAAAAGAACAATGTCAATGAATTTTAGAAATTAAGGACTATGGAAACATCTGCCTTAAGCGTAGGATTTCAAACCCGAGTGAGCACATTTGACCACGAGAACCTAAAAAACGTAGATACATCGAGTTCGCTGCCTCGCTTTGCTTATCGTGAATAACTAACCACGACGCTTTACACTTTTTGACACTTTTTGTGTCTTTTTTTTATCGCAAGTGTTTGTGTGTGGGGCCGTAACTTTTTCAACCTCTTTGTGGGGTGGGGTGGATATAGTACAAGCGTAGTGCTTGCTCGCTCTATTCTCTAATCTTTTTTCTAGATAACTAACTATAGGATAATCATCATGAATGCTAGTGGTAGCTTATAATTTGAAAACAAGCCTTGCAAGTTGCAAGCAGCAGGCATGCGGAATGTGTGGGAGGAGGGAAGGGAGAAAAGAAATCCAAAGTAATGCGTGTTGTTTTTTTGGCCTGCGCAGCGTAGGGCAGGTGCGACGAACTCAGAAGACAACCACACTCTTTTCCACTCCAGCTCGGATCGTCGTTTAGCGTAGGATATAGTCGCGTGCGACGCATGTCGTCAACTATAGTATGATGATTGCGCGTCTAATAAACATAAATAAATAAATTAAGTTAACAAAGAACCCTCTCGCAAAAAAGGTCTATCTATGGCCATTGAACTATTGGGAAAGTCTGATTTTGACTATTGAACTAAAAAGCTACATATTTTTTTGCCATCAAACTATAAAACCTAGCAAATACAGCACTTTGGCTGGTTTCAAAGGCAATTTTCCATATACTTTATTTTCTAGATAAAAATAAAATCTGGTTTATAATCTCTAAGAATTATAGCTAACTTATTTTAAAACAAAAAATTGTGAAACCATTACCGAACTTTTTCCTAAAAAAATACAGTCTATATATTGGTGACCTTTTTCCAATTATTCGGATCTTATTTGTTCCTATTCCTAATATTTTATTTTATTGGTAGAGATGACTGTTATTTATATAAAGTATTGTTTTGTGCTATATCAGACCAAGAGATCGACTAAAAGGATCCAACATACACCATTACTCCAAGTACATGGAAGATCTTGAACACAGACCTCACGAATGCCATGCTTCACTACGTACAAAGATTCTATTTAAGCATTGCATGGCTACCTTTTTACTTTATCTTAAATAAATGATTGAATAGGTAATAAGTTTCAAACAAGGCAGGGATTCAAACATCATGCAGTCAATTAATTGTCCTATCATCATCAACTTTAAGTAATAAAAATAATAATAATTTAAATACAAACCGATCATAACTCTTAACAATAAGACCCAAATAATTGTAAATAGAGCACCAGCGTAAATTTTTTTTAGAAAAACTATGGTTATGATTTCAAGTTTTTCTAATTTAGAATTAATTGCTTATGATTTTTTTTTGGAAATTAAGTCATATTTTTATTTTTATTTTAGAAAACACGTATATAGACAAAACCATATTTAAAACCAGCTAGAGGACCATATTTGTTCGACTTTTATAATTTGGTATATATTCAAATATATCTATTTTTTTAGTTTAGTAGCTAAAATCAAACTCATCGGTGGGCAAAAAAAAACTTCTTTCAAAAAGAACGATGGTGTGGACTGAATATGCACGCGCCCTCCAACTATGCACCGTGACAACTGAGAGTTTGACAGAAGGAAACGGCCCTTTTTTGTGATGATGATGATGGCTATGATGTCAACGCAACCAGATGCGAATACAGCTGACAAGGCTACAATAGTCAGAGAAGCCAATATTTCACTAGTTTATATTGAACACATGAGGCAAATACCAAAAGATGGTTGGTGAAATGGCAAGCGTCAGTGCTTCATGTCGATATATGCTTTCCCTGTAATGGCGCGTCTGGATGAAAGATCGCTAATCAAAATCTATCATTAAATTAGCTGGTTATGTTAGATTGATCTCTAATTCTAAACTGGGCCCAACGGTTCAGTTGGGCCTTTGATCTGTGCCCTGATCGGGGACGCCCAGCCCACTATGGCTGGAGGGCCCCTGTCACACCGCGCAATAAATAGAGGTAGGGGCCGGCGGCTCTGAGAACGAGGTTCACCTGAGCCGAGCTCCCCACCGACAAACCCTAACCCGATCAGAGAGGGGCGCAGCCAGTGACGGGAAGCCACCAGCTGCGCCGCCACCGGTCTTCACCGCCGGTCGACACCGCCCATCACCGTTACCGTCTTCACCGATCGTCGCTGCTCTCGCGCAGACACCGACACAACGCCCATGGCCGACGCCTCTGGAGGGTGAACGACAAGAAACAGATTAGATCCGTTCGGATCTGAGAAGAGAAGAGGGTCACCGAACCCTAACCCTAATCGGGTGAAGAAACGAGTAAGACAGAGGGCTCGGGTTTTAGAAAAGAACTCGAATCCGAGCCCAAACCCATGAAGAACAGCACGGGGAAGATAAACAGTGAAACCCTAACCCGAAACCTAATCAAACCCTAACCCTAATCTCAATCGGTGAAACCCAAGAAGAGAAACAATATCCAGAAGGGAAGAAGGGGAAGGGAAAGAGGCTTACCTTGCCGCTGCCGTCACCGCCGTCGTGCGGGAAGCACCGTTTCGCCAGTGCGCGAAAAGAAAGTGCCGCTGCCGCTCAGGCACGGCCTCCACGGGCACGGTAGGGCACCGTCGCCAGGCCGCTCGACAGCGGCGCGCTCACCCGTTGGGGAGCGCGCACGCTGGCGAGGGGGTCAGCGACGATGCCATGGCTCGGCTCTCTACGCTCACTATCGCTCGGTGCGCTACGGGGCTGAGTGAGTGAGAGAGGGAAGGAGAAGGAGCGAATGGAGTTAGGA